AGACTACGCATGGAGGGAAAAGGCTCCAAACTGTGAGGAATGGTGTGCAACTGGGTCTGGTGAGGTTCGCCTCCAATTATCGACCGTTCAAATTGATCTGAGTGAAGCGGAGGCAAACACCCACCACGTGCGCGTTCGGTAGTGAGCAGACGAGGCTGATGAAGATGCGCACATGTAACCCTTGCGTATGTCTTGCGGAATACATGGCGTGGTGGCACTGTGGGCTTGCTAAGTCTAATTATTTTCTATGGCCTTACCCGGTTAAGTTGCGTAAGTCCGTATTTACGTCAGCCTGGATCTGTAATAAACTACGTTTGTCCTCTCGCGGCGATGCACTTGATTTCTAGCTCGTTCGGAACAGTCATTCCTGGTTGATGGTGGATGTTTATCAGGGAATGCAAAATCTGATAATGAGCGTAATCTCAAATGAGCATTGATAATTTTCGTCTCGGATTAATGAGGTCTGTGACAACCTCACGTACATTTCCTTCACTGACTTATGATCATGCCACTAGTATATTACAGTAATAACAGCTAGTGTCTACCAAACTAGAAGCAATAAAGCTTGCCTTTAATTCTTGATGATCTGAAACTGATTCAGCAACTTACTTTATTTCAGGTTGACTTCTTCAAGCGGATCGACGAATGCCGTAGTTACATCTTTCCATACTGCAAAGATTATGAGAAGAACGTATGGCCTGCGCCAAGGACCAAGCACGAATGCCTCAAACACTGCTTTCGTGTCAAGCCATTGTTTAGAAGACCTTCATAAGCGAAACGTATTGTAAATAAAAAAGACGCACTGCAGAAAATTCTTGAATATTTAATTAGAATATTCTACTGACCACGAAAGGAAAGTTGAATTTGTTGTTTCCGTGACTTGCATGATCAGCCACTTCGAACTGTTGGTGGGTTGCCTCTAGTACAAGCATTTGGCAAATAAAACTTATAACACGATATGACAGCTGACTTTAGTCGTATTCAGAGTTTGCTACTACTTCAAGATCTGGCTTTTCATAATTCATAATAAAGAACAAGCTGACCGTAACTCTATGGTATATGAGCCCAGGGTGTAAGAATGCAGTGCCCCGGCACAGAGTTCGCCTGAACAAGGAGCGGTCGTGCAACGACTGGAAATTGTGCCCGAGCAAAATATGTACTCATAGCACCAGAAAATACTTGCCATGTTTAAAACGCAAGAATTACCAGATTTTCATAACTTATAATTTACAACCAGCGGCACTTGGCTTTTAACAGCAAGCGAAACAGCAGCAGTGGCATTAGCGCAAGAGGATAAATTGAGGTGACACGCAAGAAATGACTCAGGCTTCTTCCCGGTATTGACGTGTCACAGACGTTAACCGGGAGACCAGCAAGTAACATATATAAATAAGGTAGAGGATGATCTTCTTTTGGAGGGGAATCTTTTCTTCTACAATTCAGCAATGGGTGCTTTGTAGCAAAATTGTTAAAAAACATACGAATACAGCGGACATCACAAACCAAAGATGTTCTGCTTGGTGATGCTCTCAGCAAACGCACCCACACAGTGTTTGTTTGCACCAATTCTGCCATGGAGAATGATCACGCAAACCGTCATTTCACCCAGTAATGCTGCTCAGTCGTACCGAATAACTGAAAAGTACTTCTAACGGGTACGGTATGGCGTTCATATATTGTTTCCAAAGATTTTGTTCTTCTTTCTCCTCCTCTTTTTCTTGTCCTTATTTGTTTATTCCTCTTCTAGAATGTCTCTTCATGCAACAACACTGCAGGAACATAAAGTAATTTCTACCCCAAAAGGCTTCTCTACAATAAGTCGTACAGAATACCTAACAACTGCAATGCGTTGCTTGGCATTCATAATTTAATATTTTGAGGCAAAAGGCGAACAGAGGGCTTTTATTGACAGACTATAATTGCAGGCTGAGGCAACCACAGCAATGCCTTTATTCCTAAAAGCAGTTCCCTCAAATGTAGCATAATCGATTTTCCTTACCGAAACTGCAACTGAACCGTTCAAAGTGCGGCTGACTGTGCGAATGCGAAAATGCAAATGACTTAGGTACTGACGACAATAACAAACTAAGGCAATTTCCTGGAAAAAATTTTGAGATATTTGCTGAAATTTTCTATTTAGTTCACTTATCATCCAGACAAAGCACAGGTTTGCACAGTTTAAACGCAATGGATTAATTTACGAGGTGCTTGTCAGCATCAATCAGGGTTTCCGGCATATTTTATCACCTTTGGCAACTCTCATTTGCAGCTTTTCGATTCTCATTCAATCGTTTCAAACCAATGCAGATCACAGTATCCTAGAAAATCCTGCCTGTTGCCCGCTTTCCATCTTCAAGCGAAGCCTATTTGTTTTACCATGGGATCTTCTCACTTCACCTGCGGCTGACACCTAATACGTTTTGTCCTTGAATACCATTCGGTTTCAGTGCGTATCCGCTCAAATTCATTTCAATCTACCCGTCCTTGCTTCCAGCATAATTTCCTGCGATGCGGTCATCCGACGGCCCCGCTTATAGATTATTCGGTTTCTTTCGGAGACTGAGTGAACATTATTCGGTTACGTGGCGGCTTCTTTGATCTCCGTGCATGGCGTTTAATCAGTGGAAGATTAGAACTGATGACATCAACGACGATACCAGCGCCGCCGGCTTGAATACGATGATCGGCCCGCGGCAAACGTGCATCGTCTAATTGTCTGTGCCCAACAACTTATTGGTCGACTGACGCACTACCGGGAACAAACCATCGCGTCTAACGCCTCACTGGTCGAAAAGCGATCAGTCTGAACTAATGTCTATCCTGGAGAGTCGATCGCGCTCACACAGTGACGGACAGCATGAAAGAAGCCGTCTGCCTCTGCTGGAGATATGTATATTATTGATATTGTTTGTTGTCCTTGTTCGTATTTAACGCGAATCATTACTTCTTGGGATCGGTGCCCACGATCACGTGTCTCTTACGGTTTATCACTAGAAGCTTTCAGGTCATTCTTTCAGCAGATCTTTCCGTCTGAACGACAAGAGATTTTCCAACTGAGGATCTGCAACTCCTTTGGTACCAATTGGTCACTGCTGAAGTTCATTTGTCGGCATGCTAGGCTTGCTTTCTTTTTACTCTGACACATTATCCGCGTTCCCATGTATCTTCTTATTTCTTCATGTCGAAG